ACTCTGCTTGGTGACCATATCACTAACTTAATTTCTTTGGGTTTGCTTTCTCCATCTGTAAAGCCAGTGAGTTGAACAAGATGACCCCTTAGGATCTTTCAGTTCTACAAGCCTATGATTCTGAGTCAAAGGACTACTATTGATTGTTTTCTTGGCTATACAGGTAATTCAGTTTTCAGTGAAAGGGCTGTTCAATATCTTGGGCACAGGTAAGGAAACTACTGGCTGAGGATCAATTTTCTGCCATAAGGTTAAAAATTAACAGGAACAGACATTTTATCGAAATATACTCAGTGTTCTATAGGCCAATAGATCTGCTCATAAGATAACAGTTCTCACTCACTCTGTCGATATTATACATGTTAATCAAGTAGCTAAGCTTAATCTATACTATACTACATCATTACTCAAAGAGAAATCACATGTGTGTTTGAAAACTAAAATGTTCAATTTTTTAAGGAAGGGCATAATTTTGTGTTTCAGATCCTAGGTGTTTGCAAACATTCAGTGAACCAATTGTCACAAACATCTGAGATCTGCCTTGCCAGGCTGCATGAGAAAGTGAGGATAATTATCGAAATCTGTGCTACGCTACAAGAGATGGCAGTGGGCCAGCCCTCTAGCACCTAGCACCTACCCTGGTCAGCCAAAGGTAAACACGAGTAAACTAATACTTGTAGAATGGTGACTGCCAGGTACTAGGAACTATAGAGTGTTTTCACATATTTAATATATCAGCTCCATTTCACTGATGAGGGCATTCAGACTCAGAGATGAATATGGCCAAGGTCACACAGCTAAGTAAATGGACAGGCTAGGATTTAAATACAGGTCTTCAGACTTGCAGGCTACTGCTTTTAGCACTACACTATGCTGAAGTCAGATGATTATTCAAATGGTGACACAGCTACAGTGATTGAACTCTCTTAACTGTTCAAGCACTGTCCTGAGCAGGATGCACCCTTTAGGACCCAGGAGTGTACGGGAGAAGCTTCTCAGTGAGACAGGAAGAGATATAGATATCATTGCATGATGGCACCCTCCAAAATAATATAAATTATTTATACACTAGTCCATCCAACTAAGGGCAATTCAGGAAGCTTTAGGCAAGTAAATAATTCCCTACTTTCAGTACACTATTGTTTTTTACATTTTTTTTAGTCATCATTTTAAGTTGTACACCATATATTTTTCAGTTGCAGTTTTTAAATTATTTTAGATTATATTAGTAATATTTGGATAATTTTGACTTTTTAAAGTTACTTTTCAGCATACTTTAAGGCTTAAAGTAATATGTAGAATCAACAGGTAAAAGGCAAGTGAATGATCTTTCAGCTATAACAAGATAAAATGTTTTAAGAAAACTACCTTTTGGTGGAATAATGACCACCAAAACGTCTGATCTATGACTGATGTAGGTGCACTTCCATGTATGCATATATAAATGCACCAGCTTCCTCACAAGCACAAATAAAAATAAGTGCATTATCTGGTTCGCTCTATGAACATCTACTGAGTTAAAAAAACAACTTACCTTAGATGACACTATTCTGTTATCACAAAATCTTGATGCGATGGAAGTTTCTCTTTCTGTATCTGGATGGTTGCCAAGAGACACAGTGCGTGTACCAACCCGTTTCTCCTCTCCGGCACACTGACCAAGAGAAGGAGAAAAAAAGTCAGGTTTTCATCACATTTCTCCAATGCTTGTACAGAGCTCAGAATTCTTGTCTAAGCATGTTTGGCTACAGTCTGGAGAGAAAGAGTGGTTGGGAGATGAGAAAACCTTGTTAGGAAAGTCAATCAAACTCCACTAAGTTCCTAGTGGCTGATTTAGTCAGTGTTGTTTGAGCTAATTGTTTTGAGGCCAACACTGGAATTCTAAAATGTTCACAGAAAGTATCCTAGAGAAAGAATATTTTTTTATTGCCAGTCATTTTTCCTTCATCCACAGAATCTCAACCATCACCGTCACAGCAGCACACTAACTTAGGAAAAGTCAGACCAGAAATATTTAATTTTTATACAACGGTTCATGACAACCTTGTCAATGCCTTTAGCAGACTGTAGAAAACATAATGCAAATTACTTCCAACAAAAAATAGTATATTAGAAGTATACAGAAATAGAATGGCTGCCTCTACTAATGGAATTGAATAACTATTCCTACAAAGAAAAATTGTAAACTCTTTGGCTTTACAGGAAAGGCATTCTTTTGTGATCTCTCAGAGCCTACTGTCAAAAACTGCCATTTCACACAATATATCTCTAATGTCCCTTTTACATTTTTAAAAAGTAGGTTTGCTGAATCTAGAAGTTTCAAGGTTGAGTTTCATTTTACCTCACCTTTTTATTTCACTGACGCTTCACTGTTTTCTTTTTCAAATCAGGATAATATACTTTCTTATTTAAATTTAGGACAGTCTCCTTTGATGATACTATATTATCATGTTTGAGATGACCACATATTTAAGTCAAAGGAAGTATGACAGAAACCAATATCCCCTTAAATATTTGCACTATTATGTTTAAAGAGACAATCCCTAAACCTAAAATGTTTTAAAAGTATATAGCCGCAAAGACTTTCCTTCCTTTCAAAGGTCAAAGATGTAAATCTCTATCCCAAAATAATCATTTTAAGCGGAATTACTTAAGAGCTTGCAAAGTTCTCCAAATGCCCATCTTTGGATGTATTCTAGCTTGAATTTTTGCTCCTTATAGATATTACAGGGGAAAAGATTTTTTAGTTTGAAAAATAAAAATCACCCCAAAGCATAGATAGGTAAGACCTCTTGCCTCACCATTTCTTATTTAAGCATATTAAATAATGATTTAATGGGGTTAGTTCCTTCAAAATCTGTAGGGAATCAAATGAAAAGTAATTGGGATAAATTGAAGTAGGAGAGATTGAGGCTATACATAAAGGGAAACTTCTGGAAATCTCCCCTGGCATGGGGCTAAGGGAGCTTGTGGGAATCTCTGCCCATGGCAATCTGTGATCAGTCAGTATCAGTGCTGGACAGCTTAGCTATTTACCTGCCTGCCCAAAGGCAGGGCATGAGAACAACTGATTGTACAAGGTACTTCTCATGCTAAGAGTCAGTGAGTTGCAGGTAAATTTTCAAACAGTTCCTGGAAACTAGTAAAGAATACCTTTACCAGAATGGTAGTGATCTACATTTTAATTCAGGAACTGAATTTGTTTGCAACTCTAATACGCAGGGTCTGACACAGCTTACCGATAAGAGCACTAAATTTTCCATAATCCATCTGGCAAAATGTAAACTGACAGTGAATACACCTGCTAAAAGTATAGTTTACTCTGCTTCACACCTATCTTCACCTTCTGTTGCAAGTTACCATCTCACTGTAGTCTCTACAATGGACTCGGACCTTATAATGTACCAATTTGAATTACAGAAATTGTTAAGTCCATATACACATCGCAATTTACAACCTTTAATTTAACATTCACACGATTGTTTAGTTTTTCACACAAGCAAGAAGTGGCATAGCGTAAATAAGGAAAAGCTACCTGTTATGCCAGTTCTCAGATCATTCTGCAAATGGGAAGGGGGAAGAATAAAAGGAAAAGAGGTAGAGAGAGGGCCAGTGAATGTTTCCTGCACAATGTTTCCTGCACTGCCAATACAGAGTGTTCCCCTCAGTTAACAATGGTCACTGATTAACTTAAAACAAAAATGAACTAGCACTGCCCCAATTCTGAATTGTCTTCAGCTGTCTTCTCTGGCAGGTAACAGCATTCCAGAGAACAAGAGGAAGGAACAAGCCTAATGCAGTTTTTCAGGCATGATTTTTTTTTAATGAATTCCCTACATTTAATAGCATTTACAGGTTTCCTAAGTGCTTTCCCCATAAATTAACTCTGGCATCTCTTTCGAATAGGCCTAAGTGATCTCTATCTCCACACAATTGGAGGAAATGGGTTAAAATTGATGTGCAGGTGGCGGGGGGTCGGGGAGGTCCTGGCAGGGATCATCATTAGATGATGAAACGGGAGGCCTGAGAACAGTAGTGTGTTTACTCCAGAGGACGTTTCTTGAAAGGGCCGTCTCCTCAGCCCAGGCTGTCTGAGGGCTGGGGTGAAACTTGGCTCTAGCTGTTTAATGTTGTTTGGTCCACATACACATGTAGTTGCCGAACTTGTGTAAACTCACTGTAATTTTCCACTTGCTGCCCATGTAGTGTTAAAACAATGGTTTTAATTCCTGTGATTTTGACTAATGTAGGTGCCTTAGCCAAAGCAGAGAAACTCCAACCAGGAATCATAAAAAAAATTTCCCATTTGGAGTGTACACAATGTAGTCTGAAGTGCGAATGTATGACTCCTGCCACCTCGTAATGAATTTTAATTCATTAAGAGTCCATCCTATGCTGAAATGTTCCCTAGGAACATTTTTCAAAATTGAAATATGCTGGCACCAGGCCGGCTGAGCAGTGCATTGGTTAAGAGCTGGCTTGGGACGCAAGAGGGCCCCGGTTTGGATGCCACAGATGAGGGCCAGTGACACTGCCCTCTACAGCTAAGATGCTGAACAACAGCTCAACCTGGAGCTGGGCTGCCGTTGTGAGTCGCCGGCGAAGGCTTAGGCTGCAGCCCCTGCTGCAGTGGGTTGCCCTGGGCTACCGTGTGTAGCCAGCAGCCAGCGTAAGCTGCCAGCAGCCACCATGAGCGGCCGTCCAGAAGCCGGCGACTGATCTGCCTCGCCCGGGAAGAGCGCAATGATGGTGCCAACTTGGGCCAGTGAAGCAACGTCCTCCACAACTAGACTGAAGAACAAAAGGACAGCAACTTACTTGTCTGTTCCCCTTCCCCGATTCCCCAACGCTGTTTCCATCCCCCAATAAAAAATCTTAAAAAAAAAAAAGAAAGAAGAAATATGCTGGCACCAATTCTATTTTACTATTCATACACTATAACAAAAAGTATAAAGAATATAAAAAGTACATTTACAACATGAGTTAACAGAGAAAGCAATTTAATTTCTTCCTCAAGATAAAAAACACCCTTTTGTACTCTTGATCTATACGTCCATAGTGTAAACTGAATAGTTTTTAAAAAGCAACTAGTTTATACCAGAATATAGCCTCTCAGTAAAAATCAAGTGTAAAATATTACTGTTATTCAATTGGCACCATCTTAAAATCCTATGCCTTTGTTAGTCATAAAACAGAGAAAGCTGCTAGAAGTATAATTTGTTTCTTGATTGCCTCTAGGCCAGTGACTCAATACGAACTAAGGGAAAGTAGAGACCTCAGTACAGGACTGTCACTATAAAAGCTGGCACAGGATCTGAAACAGCTCACCTCGCCATCTTTTTAGGTGTTTAGCAGACTTAAATTTACCACTTAGTCATACATCAGTGGTTCTTAATTCTGGCCACACATGGGCTTTAAACATAATACCAATGCCTGCATCTTTTATTTAATATGTAATTTCATTTTTCTAGAAGATCCCCAGGTGACAATTCTAATCTGCAGCCAGCGCTGAGAAAACTGCTACAGAATCTCTTTGAATTAGTGATTGCCTTTAACTAACATCGTACAAATTTTTAGTATACCAGCCATAATCCTACACTTTTTCTTTAAAATAATTTTAGCTATTTGCTTTTCAAAAAATAATAATACAAATAACCCTCACATAGTTCCCCTTCCAGTCATTTTAAGCTGCTCACAAAAATGAGATTCTCCTTCAATACATATTTTGCGTGTGGTTAATTTGCCATCGATTATTTAGATCAATTGATAAAAATTACAGGCCCTGATACAATGCAAAGCAACTTGCTTTATCAACAAATCATCACTGATGTCATCCTCAGTAATCAGCATTTGTATTGTTCATCAGACTGCTCTTTGTGAGTTACTAAAGCAAATATAAGTATTTGCTAAAAAATGAACAAAAAATCCTTATTAAAAATCTGAAAGCTTGGCAATAATTTAAAACTGTTCCCTGCACCCCAGCCCCAAAGCTATTTTCTTCTCTGAGGCAATGGTATTTTTGAACAGCATAATCAGTCGTAAAAAGTCCCAATGAAATCAAAATGGAAAGAAAGAGCATTTCATCTAACTTTCAGTCATCTATTATAATACTCCCAAAAGTCAGCATTTTTGTACTAGGTTTGGAGGGGTGGGGTGCAGGAGGAGAACACCACAGTGCCAGGGAACATTTCCAGTGTATTAATAAGCTTCTTGGTTAAAATTGCTACAACGTATGCCAGGGTCAAATTGTTGAGGTTTCCAAGCCCACTTCATTATAACAAGCCAAGAAGAATATTCTTGATGTGTAATTTACAGTCATAACTCTAAAACGAGCCTTAAAATCATACTTTTCAGAGTTTGCTTTTACTGCACCTTCTTAAGTGATTAAGCTGTCTCTCCCTCCTTTGCCAGAGGTAGTGAAGCAAGACCAAGACATGACATTTTGTGTCTTCTTGCCTTTAAAGCTTAATTATGGTCATATTAACCAAAACTCAAACACCTGATGAGAAAAAAAAAACACCTGATGAAAAGACAACTGAATATTCAAAGTACATCCCTAGACACAAAGATCGTCTCTAATTAGGCATTACTTGAGGACAGCACATTTAATTGACTAGAAACTGCTATAGGAAATAGATTAAGTTCCATAAAAAC